ATGCTAATAAGGTATCCTACTTGCTGTACTGTGATAGGACACTAAACCTGTTATGCTAATAAGGTATCCTACTTGCTGTGCTGTGATTGGACCACTACCCCTATATAAGCTTGTGCCTTCCTGCAATAAAGCAGACCTGTGTCACTGAACCTGGTCTCCTGTATCTGAATGCGGCTCTGCTGACACAGTCTCCTCATGAGCCCTGGGGTCTGGGACTGGGCAGAAGCAGCAACGACAGGAGGCAGCACAGGGCAAGCAAAAGAGCTGCCTCAGCACCAGGCGAGCAGAAGAGCGGCCTCAGCCCAGGGCGAATGGAGGAGCAGCCTTGATGCCTGTGAAAACAAAGGAGAGGAACCCACGAGAATGGAGGAGTGGCCGCTGCTGGTGGTAACAGCACAAATCTTCTACTGAGTTCTTTTTTTTTTAAGGTTTATTTTTATTAATTCTTTGAGAATTTCATACACTATATTTTTATCACATGCACCCTGCATTCCTAATTCCTCCAAGATCCATCCTCACCTCCCTATACTCTCCAACTCCACCCAGATCCACCCCCACCCCTCCATCTCCCTACTGAATTCTTTAATCATGGAAAGTTTGGAATTTAAATTTGACAGAATCCAAGTAGGACTTTTCCTATCCATCTTAAGCATGCCTATGCTCATTACCAAAACTAGGAGTGCTGGAAAGGAAGCAGCACATTAAACTTAGTGATCTTAGAAAGCAAAAGAAAAGTGCATAGGGCTCTTTTAAAAAACTTTCCATCCACAAGGAAGACAATAGCATAACTGTTTTTCTTCCTTTCTTCTTTTCCTTCTCTCTTCTTTCTTTGCAAAACAAGAAGAATCAATAATAGTAAAAGGTCAGTATATAAGAATCTTCAATCATCTATCACCACTTCATCTTGCCTCAAGGACTGGTGGAGCGGCAGTTGAAGATTAGGGACAAGTTGGAAATTTCCTTAATCTGTTGACTGCAGTCACCACATAGAAATGTTTCTTGAAGTAAAGAGAGGGGAAAAATGCATATCTTTAGATCAAGTACTTTAAGAAGAAAGGACTTACTTAAGTCTAACCACTTGGGTTTGTTTAAAACTGATAATCTAAAGGGGAAAACAGGTTTCTGGAGCAATCACTGTAGAGCAGTCACATACAAAGGTATGTTTGGAATAAGTGTGAGGTAAGAAGAAAAATTCTTGCCTTTTCACATGAAAAATGGAGTTCCCTGGAACAATTTTTCAAACTGATTGACAAACCACTCTTAGGTCATCAAATCAAATTTGAGGTCTATGAACACCTTTTTTAAAAACGAAAGCAAATGTCATATAAAAATAAACTAGGATATATCATACTCTATTAGAGTAATGTGAATTTTTTGCTTCATGTGTGTCTGTATGTGTATACTTATGCTTATGTACTAGAAAAGTGTTTGGGTTTTGTTTTCTGTTTCTTGGTTGGGGATGAGGTTGTGTGGGAGCTTAGCTTTGTTTGTTTGTTTGTTTGTTTGTTGTTTGTTTGTTTGTTTGATGCTGAGGATTAAACCCAGAGTCTCACACATACTAAGTACACACTGTAGCATGGAGCCAAGAACCAAGCCCTGTTGTCTCTAATTTTTCATGAAGATCCAAGTCAACACCAAAAATTTTGAAAAGCCAATTTCCTAGAAAACAACTGCTGTTAAGATAAGTTATTTGTCCATGATTCCAAAAGAGCTGTGTCATAAGCAAAATTAAAAAGCTTTTGAAGTTAAATACAGCTTTCCCATCTTGAATTTCTGAAATATGAAAGAATCAAGCCTCAAGCTACATGTGGCTGGGCCAGGAGACAGCCATACAAAACTACAGACTAAGCATCACTTTTATGCCAGTTATTTCTGACCTGTGGCATCTTTTAATCATGCTGGGAGTTGTAATATGAAAAAGACTTTTCCAAAATAATCTTGTATTTAGAAAAAATTAGCTACAATTCTTTCAAAGGACAGAAGACAAATGCTGCTTTTACTGAAAGAAAAACAGAATACCTTCCATTTTCTCTGGGCCATGTATTTCTGCAGCAGCAGTTGGGATCTGAGACAAGCTTTGGATTGTGAGGCTTTGGCAGGCAGATTATTTAACCACTCATGTTTCAGGCACTGTGTCGCACTCATTCTGCAGCTGTGAAGTCAAACAGGGGTAGACATTTACAGCTGCTCTTGCCTTTCATAGTTGTGGAAAGGTCTATTCTGTTGGGTGGGAAATCTGAGTCCATGGAATAGGCTGATCTATTCAGTAAGATGCACTCTTTGTACCTTAAAGTGTTTAAAATTGCCCTCCTTGAAAATGCCAGTAGGTTGTCAACAAAATGTTCATGAACTCCACTGAAGGAACGTGCCTCAGTGATTAACCACCACCTTCCATAGAGGGCTAGGAAACTAAGGCAGAACAATAGGAAGGCCAGCTGTGTCTTGGTTTGCTCTTAAAAAGAACATGATGCTTGAACAAAACATTTCTCCTTCCAGAGAAAGTATCAACTAGCTTACGTGAATTACAAGGGTTTCTCTCTCTCTCTCTCTTAGAAACTTTCACATTCAAAAATTAAGCCTAGACTCTTGGGCCTTTCTCCTGGGTCATTAATACCTTTGTTGTCTTCGGTTATTTCAGTTATCATTATGTCTGAGTATCACAAAACTCAGGGACTCAATCTATGATTTTGATACAGCTGCAGAAGCCTAAGGCCTTCGTGACCAAGCACTGAGACCTGTAATCTAGACTTTTCTTCAATATTAGCCTATTATAAGAGGTAAATTGGAAATAGGATTCATTTGTAATTTGCCTCTTTCTGAAGCTCTGTGTAGAGCTTATGTTCCTAGTTATTTTCCAATTAATTTCCTTTGTCCTTTTCTGTTTCTTTTAATGTTCCAAACAATAACAGATTAAGAAATTCTAAAGGGAAATTTTGGCAACCAATGGCTGCTGGGAGGGCAAGAGACAGTCTCCTTCAAGAATAAGACTCTTGGTAGGTTAACCAGGCTCCAGTGGACAGACCCACACTGAGGGACATGTGGGAACACAAATTAGACTCTATAGGTCTTATTATACACATAATACAGTACATTAAGTTGGGTGGGGGCAATAAGGGAAGGTGTGCGGATATGGAAGGGGATCTAAATACCATCAAATTATATAGTGTGAAAAATCACAAAAATTCTATTTAAAAATGCTGCTTTAAAAAAATCTTGAGGATTTTAAAAGGGATTCAGCAGTCCATCCCAGCACAAAAATCTGGGCCCATTATAATGGCCATTGAGTGACCAACAATAAAAGATACCTCTTCTCTTTGACCAGCAACCGGGAAACAAAGTCCTTGGCTTCCTCTGTCAGTCCTTCGAAAGTATCAACATCAAAATCCCAGCTACAGTTCACAATAAAATTCATGGTTTCTGCATCTGTTTCCCCTAGAAATGGGGACAAACCACTGAGTCTATGGAGAAGAGACAGAACCATCAGTATGTGCAATCCACATTTGCCAACAAGCTTTGACAGAACAGAGAAGACACAAGCTCAATGAAATCATAACCAAGAGGATTCAAGAGAAAAGTAATCCTGCTACTTCTCCACAAGATATGCTTCAATGTGTTCATTAAGGGAAGGAGGTAGAGCAGGAAGGCATTCTGAACAATCCCCTGTCACAGGTAAATCTTTCCCCACCTCTGAAATAAAGAATAAACTGGGGTCACACACGCTGTGTCCACCCGTCAAGTATGTATCTATGTATTTTAAAATGAGCTTTCTATTTCTCTGAGACCACCAGGCTCATCAGCTACTATGTCCTTCCAGCCATTTTTTCAATTGGCTTTACTAGGCTTCTGCTAGAGCAGAGAAGCAACACAACCTAACTGGCTAATTCTGGGGCTCTAAGCTTCCCCAGCCTTCTGTACAAAGTACAGGGACATGGTGTGGCCATTATGTAATAAGAATGAACGAAGGAGTCAGGTGTGATGGTACACGCCTTTAATCGCAACACTCAGAAGGCAGAGGCAGGTAGGTCTCTGAAAGATTGAGGCCAGCCTGACCTACATAATGGGTTCCAGGCAACCTGGGGCTCCAGGGAGACCCTGTCTCAAAAAGATTTAAAAAAAAAAAAAGGAGGAGGAGGAGGGGGAGGGGAGGAGGAGGGAGGGGGAGAAGGAAGAGGGAGGGGGAGGAAGAGGAGGAAGGAGGAGGAGGAAGAGGAGGAGGGAGGAAGAAGAGAAGGGTGGAGGGGAGGAGGAGGGAGGAAGAGGAGGAGAGGGAGGAGGGAGGAAGAAGAGGAGGGGGAGGAGGGAGGAAGAAGAGGAGGGAGGAGGGGGAGGAAGAGGAGAAGACAAGAAGCCAAACATGATATTGGCCCCTGTCCTAGTTAGCGTTAGCTATCAACTTGACATAGTCTAGAGTAACCTGAGAAAGAAGTCTCAATTGAGGGATTTTTCAGATCAGATTGGCCTGTAGGCATGTCTGGGAGGGATTGTCTTGATTATTATTTGATATAGAAGGGCCTGTCCCACTGTAGGCAGCACCATTCCTCAGGCAGGTAGTCCTGGGCTGTATAAGAAAGTTAGCTAAGTATGGGTCTGTGAGGGAGCCAGCAAGCAGCCATTCCTCTATGGTTTCTACAAGTTCCTGTCTTGAGTTCCTACCCTGGCTTCCCTCAATGATGGACTGTAACCTGTAAACTGAAATAAACCATTTCCTCCCCTAAATTACTTTTGGTCAGAGAGTTTTATCACAGCAACAAGAATGAAAGTAGAACATCCCCCAAGGAAACAGCCAAGGGAAGTTCACAGTCAAAGAAAATGGTAGGGGGGCCTGTGCCAGAAGTGATGAGGTTACAAAACACTAAGATACACTCTTTCCCCCACTTATATCCAAGCACCCACATTTCTTTGCTGGATGGCTCTCCATTTAAATCTTTTTTTCAGCACCCAGAAGTATCATCAAATCACCTCCAGCCACCACACATAGGATCAACTTACAAACAATAACGAGTAAGAATCGTGGTATAACTATCCAGTTCTCTCACTCCTCTGATAAAATAACTCTGAGGGGAGGAACTCTGTTTCACAATGGATTCCAGAGTTTCTTAGTAGAAATCAAGTCCAATTTCCCACAGATACATCTTACTTCTGTGTCATTGCTACTTTAAGTTATTATTTTATAGCTGGGTGTCAAAAAACTCGGTGGCTCGGTCTATGACTTTGATGTTGCTACTGAAATTTAAGAAGGCCTTCCTCACCAAGAAATGAACTATGAAGACCTATAACTTTTTTTCTGATATTAGCCTTGATAACGAGAAGTAGGATCCATTTGTAACACACCTTTAGCTGATTGTCTTTGTTCCCATCTCACTACCCTGCTCCTCCATCAATGTTCCTGGGAACACTTCCCAACTTGTGTTCAAAGATTTTCTGCTTCTAAGAGTACCAAAGTAAAATGAATGGCCCAAGTCCTCCTCACAGCAAGGCCCTTGAGTACTCACAGCATGTAGGTGATAACTCCCACACTCCACATGTCTGTAGGGAATGAGACAAACTCATAGTTGACAACTTCTGGGGCCAGGAACTCTGGAGTACCAAAATTCACCTTTAGTTTCTCCCGAGGCTTGTACCTGGGGAGAAAGAGGGGAGTGCAGAGCACCATGGGAGTGGGGTGTGAGAAAAGATAAAGACGCAGATGTGGATGCTTGAAGAAAACATTTCTCTACCATACCTGCCAGGCATGTTGCCTGGGCCCCACATCCATACTACACAAGTGGTTTCCAGGGAATAATCACACCCTCAGACACACCTTCAGGCCTTTCTAAATTAGCTCAGGCCTTCCTAAGTTAGCAGTAGATCCAGGCATTTACAATCTGAAGAGGAGGAAATATCAATCTATCTTACTTGGTATTCAACCATATAAACAAGTACACATAGGGTACAAGCTTCGGGACAGTGACTGCTTGCTGTTGGTTTACACAATGTGGCTAGAGGGATAACAGTAAAAATTAGAGATAGAGGAAAAGATGCTCATCATCACTGATCCTTAGGGAAATACAAATTAAAACTACAATATGGTTCTGCATGACTCCCACATGCAGTATTAAAACATACAGAGAAAGAGAGAAAACAGCAAGTGTTGACTAAGCTGTAGAGCACTTAGAACTGTTATGCAGTGTAGGTAAGGAATGTGAAATATTGCAGGCACTATTGAAAACAGAAAAATGGCAGGGCGTGGAGGCTAACACAAGTAGACTGACATGAGTTTGAGGCCAGTGGTGTGCAGTAAATGTTCAACAATTAGCTACCCAGTTTTTGTTTGTTAGTTAGGTTTTTTTTTGGCTTTTTTTTTGTTTTTTGTTTTGTTTTGTTTTTGGCCTGGCTTACAGTAATTGCCAACTTTGGTGGTGTAAATACTGATTTCCACAGGCCATTTTCAAGGTACCATCATGAAGTTACGGAGTGAAGACTTGGGAAAAGTTACACAGCATCACAGCACTCACAGCATTTCTACCATATGCACACAATGAGCATAAATAACATCAATGGCATGTAGTAGTAAGCTAACTAGTAAGCAATTCTAATATTTGGTGTAGTTAATTGTAGGTCTATGTTAGTTAATCTTTAATGATGGCTGTACTTAACAACTGGACTGCAAAATATCACAAAACAACCTTATACAACAAGTACTAATCAAGCTAGATCCGGCATACCACTATGTGGTATACTAATTAAAAAAAAAAAACTATTGGTGATTTAAACCACCGAAGGAGTTATGGTATGGTTTGTAATACAGTAATATCATAGCAATAGCTAACTGACACATTCACATCAAAACTATGTCAAATATCTACCAAAACCATCCCTCCAGATTTCTGGCACAAGGCCTTTTATGGCCATAGGATCATATAGGAAACCCTACAGTGCTTGTGCTAATCAGCCTCTTGCCCATCCAAAGTATCGGATGAGATAGCTTTGTGTTCTTATTCCAATCTGAGCCCTGGACTGAGCATCAGGAAACTCCTAACATGCTGGAAACTTGGCTTAAAGTAGGTGTTGCCTATCCTGTTTGATTTTTGACATGTTGCTACCTGGATCCACTGAAGGCTTCACTGCCCAGCTTGTGGTAATACAGGTGTCTCTTGCTGGGTACCATGGCTCTGAAGCTTTGAATGTACCTCCCACTCTACCAGGAGTCAGGCTCCCACAGTACATCTCAGCATCTTCTAGTACATCTCAGCATCTTCCAATGCTCCCATGAAGAAATAGAATTTTATTTTCTCCAGGTTGTAGTAGACAGGAATTAGCATTTGCCCCCTCTTTACAAGCATCTTATTATTCTGCGGTATAGAATGTGCTCCCTCGACCTGCATGCTACCACTCTAAGTCCCACTCTTGGAAGAATACACTTCTAGGAAGCAGGCCACTATTGGGAAAAAAAATGGCAAAAAACAAATTTGTTGTAATCATTTAGTTTGAATGACCTATTTCCCAGAAAAATAAGGATGCTTTCGTTGTTTTCTGTCCATTTCATAGTTAGAAGTTGTGGCTACCAGCCCAGCCTCCACTGAGTATAGTTCCCAAGGCATTATGTTTCAGATGTGTGTATGTCACCAGTGGCCAGAAATTTTACATGGGTGGCTTCTCCTAAAAGTGGCTCAGGTCCTTGTGTTTACTGCATTGAACTTGCCCTTTGCTTCTGGTCCTGCTGGAAAAATTATTTGCCATCAATGCTCTTGACCAGTCATCTCCCCTACCTCCTCTCCAGCTCCTGCTAATACTGGTTCTGGCTCTTCTAAGAGGACCAGAATCCATTGTGTTCAACTTCCAACGCTGCCTTCAATGACGTCATATCATTAGCTTGAAGTTATGAAAAAAAAACTGGCAAATATTACAAATCAACCCCATTTCCTCTCACTTCTCACGTTTTCTGAGGGGATAATTTAACATGCGCCAGCATAACACTGCCTGCAGATGACAAATCCTGTCCATTTGTCCCCTCTGCTGCTCAGAGAAGCCTTCCCTCACAGTGAGTGTGCTATGTGGCAACCCATTTAAGAGTGTACTGCAAATCTTGTGTATACATTCCCAATAAAGACAATATTGTACAACAAGAAAAAACTTGGTTTGGGGGGGAACAAAAATATAACAGTTTATGCCTTTCCAAAGGGCCACAGTACATACATAGCTATACAGAACATCTGGGACATTAAATTTCATGGAGTGGAAGACAAAGGGACTATGGGGAAAAGTCTAAAAAGACATACTGGAGGCAGGTACCAATAATGAAAAATAGGTTAAAAAATACTACTCTCTTGAATAAGATACACAAATATGTAGGATAATCCCTATTTTAGGAGACATTATTTAAGAAAACATGGAGCAGATTTTCTACATTATAGATTGAATGTGATTTTTATTCCTGTATTATTATACTTTTCATGAAAAAGAGGTCACTATGTACTGTAGGTCCTGAAAATGCAGGGGGATGGCAAACTTCCATTACACCGAGAGCAGGTGGGGCAGCAAAATGTATCTTTGGCTCCTGCAAATAGGCAGTACTTCAACCAATGGAGAAGGCCCTCAGAAGCCTGGCTGAGGATGCTGCCTGGAAGAGGGGCAGAAACCAGAGGCTCATCTCAGGGAAGCAGCTCTGCTTTTCTGTGGACAAGGCTCTGCTTTCCTTGACTTATGGATAGAAAGGATCACACTTTTCAGTTTATAAAGTAACAAAGACAGCTTCCTTGTGAGAAATGGCCACTGAGATGACAGAAGAGCTGGGCATGGAAGCACACACACATACTCCTCGCATTCAGGAGGTTGAGGAAGAAAAATCACAGTTTGAGGTTAGGCAGGGCTACATGATAAGATCTGGTCTCAAAAAAAAAAAAGAGCTATGTGGTAGCACATGCCTATAATCCCATCACTAAGGAGGTGGAGACATGGAATTCAAGGTCAAGGTCAGCCTTATGTAGCAAGTTTGAGGCCAGCCTGGGCTACAGGAAACCCTGACTCCAAAAAAAAAAAAAAGGAATGAAGAGAGTAAAAGAGGGAGAATGGAAAAGGGAAAATGTTAGAAAAAAATCAGGAATTGAAAATTTAGCTGTGGTATTAAGAACTACCCAGAAAATATGTGATTTCCAGAGAATAGTCAATCTCAGAGGAAAGAAAATTCTGGGAGCGGGAGGCTTGGGGGATGGACATACGATGAATGCACTGATTTTAGTTAATATCCTAACTGCATGGGGGTTTGGGACACAGTCTTCCTAAGTTCCAAGGATTGACGATAGCCTTGGCTGAGAATCCACTACCAGCTGTGCATGTCATGGGCAGGAGCACTGATGGAAATAGAAAGTAAAAATGGCCTCTAAGAAGTTTAAGCGTCTTTAAGATATATTTTTAATTATATGCAAGGGCCAGTGAGATAGCTCAGTGAATAAAGATACTTGCTACAAAGGCTGATGATCTGAGTTCGATCTCCAGGACCTACATGGTGGAAAGAGAGAAACAACCCTCACAGGTTGTCCTCTGGGGATTTTTGTCTGTCCACACATGCTCTTTGGCAAAGGCTATACCACACACGCATGCATGCACGCACACACATAAATAAATAAATAAATAAATAAATAAATAAATAAATAAATGTAATAAAAATTTTGAATTATATACAATATTCACTTCAATTCACTGAAACCTGAGGACTTAACCACTCTCACAGAATGATTTTGCACTATCCATTTAGGATGCCATTCAACACTCATTCCTATCTCCATGTCAACAAGAATCTCATGTGTCACCACGTACCAAGATCTAACTAGCCCTGAATGATTCCAGATACTCTTAACCATGGCACCACCCTACCTACCATATGCATTTTCATATGTAATTTAGTGACTTCTTGAAATGCAAGGATGGTGATGGATGTATTGCACAATACACAGCCTGATCCCTGGAGGAATGGAGAACTGATAGAATTTAGTCTACCGAGCACCCTGTTCAGCAATCCCCTATAGCCAATTTCCTCTCCTCAGACAGGTGGTTGGAAGTACAGTTAATCTCACAATCTTTCAAAAACATGGAGCCAGTCTGTACTACAAAAGTCACTGCTGCAGTGATAGCAAACCAAAGGCCACCAGCCTCTAAATGTGAGAATTTTCTTGCATCCATTCCTAAACTCAAGAATTTTTTCACTCTCAGACAGGCAACTATATTCAAGAGAGCTACAGATGCCACTAAAGGAGCTTTGTCAGAGTATCAGGATAAATTCCCTTACCTTCTAGCCAGTCCAAAGTCAATGATCTTAATTTGGTGTCCTGTCTGGCTTACACACAGTATATTCTCTGGCTGGAAGAGGAGAGAGAGAGAGAGAGAGAGAGAGAGAGAGAGAGAGAGAGA